ATATTGGATAGTATTTAAAAAAAAAATTTTTTTTTTAAGTAAGCCCCACGATCAGCTCAGAGCCCAACATGGGGCTTGAACTCATGACCCTGCAAGTAAGACCTGAGCTCAGATCAAGAGTTGGATGCTTATCTGACTGAGCCACCCAGGCACCCCTGGATAATATTTTTAATATTTATGAATCCTCCCTGAAAGGGTCATGTTTCCACTCACAGATCGGAGGGACGTCGTTTACAGTTTGTGTAAATAATTCTTGGCAAAGAGTGGAGCTGGTCTCTGTCTTCATAACCACACACATAATTCTATTTCTTGAAGTCTAAGATCTCAACAGTTCTGAACTTCAAGCACCTTAGGTTCGGATGCTTGGCCAGGGTGGGTGGAGAAGCTTAGATCTTATGGCTTCCCGTTGGATGTGGGCACCGAAGCTGTCAAAGACTTTCCCAACAAGCTAAGGGATATAGTAGAGTCACCCTTGTTTGGGGTTATCCAGGGTTCTCTGCAAGAATGGTAGAAAAAGTGTGTAAATTCTATAGCAAGATTAAATTTATATGTCTTATGCTGCCTTGCCAATCAACAAGAAGAGTTCTTGATCCCTGCATGTCAAAGTGGGGAGAAACACTAAAGTTGCTATTCCTGTTCCTGTGCACACTTTAACGGGGATAAACAGAACCCCAGGAAGGATTGCCAAGATCCTGTTTGTAACAAATTTAAATTGGAGTGAGAAAGAAGAGAGAAACCAAGAGTTACCCTTACCACTAAGGAGATTCGGGGCTTCAGGAACATTTCAGTTTCACCAATTAACCTCTGTGTTTTGTATTCTTTGGGCACCTGCAGCTGGTCCCCAGTCCTGCTGCTGGGATTGTGACACCTAGCGTCAAGGCAGCAAAGTTGTCCTTGACAGGCATTTTGGAAAAGCAACCCCAGTGAATCAAATATTTTTAGTAGTCTGAAAAAATTATCTCAAAATGCAAATATATACATTTGATAATATAGCTATGCCTTAATATGGGCTTTGCCAACTTCTCTTCCTCTGCATCAGCTGAGGAAGTCAGTAACTTGGTCCATCCTCTTATTTTTTGACGTTATATAATGTGACACTCTAGGCCACTTAGGCCTACACACTGAAGTATAACAATGGCTTTTCATAGAGTTCTATCTCCCCAATGTTAGTTATATTAACTTATTTCCCACCCTTGCATAACTGGGGGCTGCAATGTGAGTACTTTATTTTTGTTCTAGTTTCTTCCATATCTTCCACGGACATTTCCTTCTTTGTCCTATCTCACCGTTCCCTTTTCTGCCTCTCTCGGTGCCCTAAAAGGAGCTGGCAAGAGAAAACTGATTTTGGCTCTTGTCTATCCATCCCTATTCTGTGATCTTAGACAGGCTTCCTCTATTCTGAAAGGACAATTTCACCTACTCGGCCTCTCACAGGGCCGTTCTAAAACACCTTCTAGAATAAAGATGTCCATTTATCAAATAAGAAACTAATAAAGACTAACATAAACGATGGGCTGAGCCTCATTGTGCCGCTGAAGTAAAATGGACACTGGCTGTTTTGTAAGTGGATCGAATACTAAGTTGCAAACTGGCCAGGGGTTTGAATTGCTCACAACGTACAGTTACTTGTATGAAACAGAGTTAGAGAGAGTTGGGTTTTTTTAAATTTTCTTAATGTTTTATTATTGCATCTTTGAGAGAGAGAGACAGAGCATGAATGGGGGAGGGGCAGAGAGAGGGAGACACAGAATCAGAAGCAGGCTCCAGGCTCTGAGCTGTCAGCACAGAACCCGATGTGGGGCTTGAACTCATGAGCTGTGAGATCATGACCTAAGCAGAAGTCAGACGCTCAACTGACTAGGCCACCCGGACGCCCCTAGGGGGAGGTGTTTTGATGATTTAACTAGGAACACAGGCCAGTTAATTTATAGCACCTGTGAGCATCCAAAGGCACTAAACCCTAGATTACAAAATTAAGCTCTAGCTCTTTGCACAGTAGCCATCTTCCAAAGAATTGTATAAAGCTACTAGTTGACTTGAATAAATTGAGTACAATATGAGATATTTTTCTTGGAAAGAGAAGATGCAATCTCAGCTGTGGATAGAACAGGTTTCCCTCGGCAGAGATTTAGGAGATAAAAACACAAGATACCTCCGGCATCCATGCTGCAGACCTAAGTTAAGGGAATAAAGATATCTCAGGGGTTGAGTTGAGGAAGGAAGGCAAGGAAATGAATATCCACAGCTGCGGTAAGAGGAAATATGATTTGAATATTCATAACGCTCAAGGTAGTTTCAATAGATAAGTATATGTATTTCTTCTTGAATCCACCACCTCACTTGGATGCATATTTATTCTCAATGATCTAGGATGGTTACCATACCACTTTTGCATCAGACTTGCTCAAACTTTGATGAGGTGGGGACCTTGTTAAACTACAGATTATGATTCGGTAAGACCTGTAAATCTGCATTTCTAACAAACTCCCACGTGCTGCTGCTGGTCTGCTGATGCCCAGGGGCCCGCGCCCCCCCCCCCCCCCGCCGTGGCAAGTTTTACACTGCCCGAGAGGCAGTATTCTAAGCTGGTCAGGTTTGTGCATTCATCAGGTGCACTGCCTAGATTTGAAGCCGGACTCTGCTCTATGATCCTGGGAGCTTAATTAACTTCTGTACCTCCATTTGCTCCTCAGGAAAAATAAGAATAATGTAGTTGATAGGATGAAATGAGTTGATTTATGTAAAGTGTTTAGAGGAGTCGATAACTGCTAGTTGTATGCATAGTTTATCAAGTTTACCAAATCAAAAATACCTATGTTTTGGCCCAACTAGATACTTTGTATACCGGTTTATTAAAAAGGGAAAAGGTGACTAATTGGATCTTGTGTGCTTGTCCTACCTCTTCACACAACCCTTGTCACAGGCCAGGACATTCACACGGATTGGGTGATTTCCCTTAGGATGATTGTGGCTAACGATGGTGATGTGCTCCTGGATGTTTCTGGATAAGGACCCCGCTAGACCTTTTTGCTCAGTCCTGTTGAGGAGGAATTGGAGGAGTAGAGATGAGCTTCAGGGAATCATAAAAATAGGTTGATTGAAACACCGTCTGATTTATGTACATAATCTCAGTGTATCCGCAAGACATACCCATAAAATAAGTAGTGTAAGCCCTGCTCTACTGAATAGGAAGCTATTACATGAGTGAGTGAAGTAAATTGATGTGACCTCACTGGTAATTGGCAGTGATGCCTTACTAATCTAAATATGTCTGACTCCAGCACCAAATCATTTAGTCAGAAATTATCCCTCCTCCACCAAAATACATATTTTTAAAGTCGGCTTTATGCCCAGCTTGAAATTGATTTTGGCTCTCAAGATAAATAAATAAACTTTAAAAAAAAAAAACCCGTCGTCTCTTGAGTATTGGCATTTCGAGCAATGCGCAGCTGATGTTGAGGCTCAGTAACAATTATACACTGAGAGAAATCATTGTGTTGTTTGAGCATAACTGGTTTTTATTTTCTTTTTAATGTATGATTACAAACAGATCCCTTTATAGAATGGGCACACTGAGGAAAGAAACATTTCTCCAACAACTGGCGAAAGTTGATGGTGATCCCATTTGACTTCAGAATCTGAAGAGCTAAATAGTAACTTAATTCTGTCAGATATTGTGAATAGTGTAGCTCATGACAAAAGGGTGATATGGTACCTAAAACTCAGTAGTACGTTATGGAGCATAAGATAGCAGAGAAGGCCCAAAAACATTCACCTGGAGAGCCATCATGCTGAACCAAATCTCATTACACTTGGATGTAGTCACATGGCCAGCACTGATTATCTTTACTAATGGCTATGAACAGTAGCTAAAGCAATCATGAGGCCATTTACCCAAGATTTTATGATATTTGAATACACAATACACGCACATCACAATATCTGTATACTTGAAGCACTATATTAATGCACACACACACACACACACACACTCTCACACATTGATTCAATAATTTGTTAGCCATGTATTGACATTTTTCTGGCTAGTAATTGCTAGGGCCACAAGAGTGAAAATGGTGCAATCTTTCTGTCAAGGAACTTGTAGGTGAATCCAACAAGTGCAATCACAACACAACATGTTGAAGACTTTGAGAGTCATGGATCAGAGACCTAATGGCAGAGTAATGCGATAGATATCAGGAAAGTATTCTTAATTAAAGAATATCAACAGGGTTATTCATCTTAATTTGGTCAAAATAGGTTCATGTCTGGGTGCTTACCCATGCCATATGACCCAGAAAATATACCACAGTTTCACACACAAACACAACACACATATTACACCTACAAATGCAGTTTACAGACACCGTTCTGCTCAACATGCTTGCTGAGGATACCAGAAGTTATAAGATAGTATTTCCTTTATCTTCTGTTATTCTGTCTCAAAATGATAAATTTTTATTTTTTTATTATTTTTTAATGATTTTTTAAATGTTATTTACTTATTTTGAGAGAGAGAGAGAGAGAGAGAGAGAGAGAGAGAGAGAGAGAAAGCACAAGCAGGGGAGAGGCAGAGAGAGAGGGAGAGAGAATCCTGAGCAGGCTTCCTGCCCCTCCTTGCACACAGAGCCAGACATGGGGCTCAAACTCATGAACCGAGAGACCATGACCTGAGGTGAAACTAAGAGTCAGACGCTTAACCGACTGAAACACCCAGGTACGCCTCAAAATGGTAAGTGTTTTTAAAATTTTTTAACGCTTATTTATTTTGAGAGCGAAACAGGGGCGGGGCAGAGAGAGAGGGAGACACAGAATCCTAAACAGGCTCCAGGCTCTGAGCTGTCAGCAGAGCGCCTGACACAGATCTGGAACTCATGAACAGTGAGATCATGACCTGAGCTAAAGTTGGATGTTTAACCGACTGAGCCATCCAGGCACCCCAAAATGATCAATTTTTAAAAGGATGTATTTTCTATTTCTGAGAAAGGTCATTAGTCTCTACTTATATCTTGGTATTTGTGCATACCAAATGAAACTAGGAGAAATAAAAGCATTACTGAAAGTAAATCACTTTCCTATCTCTCCACAGGAGGGTACTGTCTCAAAAGGCAAAATCCTTCAAGGCAGAGTGTGAGGCTGGAAGAAGGGGAGGGTAGAGAGTGAATGATTCAATTGGCTGCCACACAGAGACCTCTGCCTTTTTACCCAGATCCAAGTGGGTGGGAAGTGTTACTCTAGTTCAAAAAAGCCTCTTTCAGGAGGGTATCTTTCAAGGGCAGCTAAAGTCAGTGACCAGGGCCATCCTGTGACAGGAAGAAAAGATGCCCCTGAAATTCTCAGTGCTGATCCTTTGGATTCAACTGGCATGTGAGTTTGAGAAGTTTCCAATTACCTTAACTGGAAATCCAAGGGAAAATTAAAAGAAAAAAGGGAGAGGGTGAGGGAAGGAGCAGGTGGGGAAGAGGGAGGTAAAGTCATGTCAGGCTGAGAAAGAGTCCCCAGTTCCCTTCCCCAGTGCCCACTGCTTTGGTTTTCAACAGGGCAGAGCACCCAGCAACTGGAGCAGAGTCCTCGCTTTCTAAGCATCCAGGAGGGAGAAAACTTTACTGCGTATTGCAACTCCACAAGCACGTTTACCAGCTTTCAGTGGTACAGACAGAAGCCTGGGGAAGGTCCAGTCCATTTGATGACATTATCTAGGAGAGGAGAAATAAAGAAGCAGAAGAGTCTAGTAGCTCAGTTTGGTGAGGCAAGAAAAGACAGCTCCCTGTTCATCATTGCCGCCCAGGCTGAAGATGCTGCCATCTACACCTGTGCAGGGGCACAGTGCTCCCATGGCACCTGGATGCCTGTACCCAAGCCCTACTGCAGGCTCTGTCACGCTGCTGCTGAGTCCCCCACCCCCCTACCCGGCCCTTCCTCTACATTTCCTGACATGAACAGTGGTAACAATCTCAGGCTCTCATGGAACCATCTCCACTACCTTTCCAGATATTTCCCACATACACTAAAGAACAAGATTCCTCTGTCGTGGGATCACCTTCTAGAAATGCATCTCACTATCTGAACCAGTAAAAATATGGGTCTACAGCTCCCTGGGGTGGGCAGTGGGGAGAAAAGAAGGGAGTTGATAGAGAAGAAAAATGAAGATAATGGTCAGAGTGCATCGTAGTTCCAATGAGTCATTCTGTTTTCCTAAAGACCACAGCCAGGAATGGTTAGTCCAAGGGGGCAGAAATGAATGATTTTGCAGCTTTATTCTAGTAGAGTTGATGAAACTGGAGTGAAAGTCAGAAGTATAGTGAAAAAAAATAATTAGAAGAAAGTTGGTACTTTTTTAGCAGAAAAAAAAATGCCTACTGTGTACTCCAGTAACATCCCAAATGTGATTCCAAAGCAACCTCTCCATTTGGTGGTTCTGAACTACTTACACATTAGCTACAATTGCCTGTATTTACACAGGATTTGCTTGGTGATTATTAGACTTTGCGTGGTAGATATCAATAACTTCAAGTTTTCAAGGCTGAAGAAGATAGGATTTTTTTGGTTTCCAAAGTAAATTTTATTTGAGTGTAGTTCACACAATGTTACATTACTTTCAGGTGCACAACATAGTGTTTCTACAAGTTTAGACATTATGCTGTGCTCATGGCAAGTATAACCACCATCTGTTACTATGCAATGCCATTAAAATATCATTGACCATATTCTCTATGCTATGCCTTTTATTCCCATAAAATATGCTGTGCCATACTCATCCCATAAGTAGAGGCTTGTACCTCCCACCTCTTTTCCCCCAGTTTGCCTCCCCCCATCCCTTCCCCTCTGGAAACCACCAGTTTATTCCGAAGAAGCTAGTTGACAGTTGCCTCCACCTGGTAAGTCTTCCACTGGCCTACTTTTATACTTGACAAATTCCTATTGGTCTTTAAAGCAAGATGAGGGGCACCTAGGTGGCTCAGGCAGTTAAGTGTCCGACTCTTGATTTCAGCTCGGGTCATGATCTCACAGTTCGTGGGTTTGAGCCCCACATCAGGTTCTGCGCTGACAGAATGGAGCCTGCTTGGGATTCTCTCTCTCTCTCTCTCTCTCTCTCTCTCTCTCTCTCCCTCCCCCACTCTTGTTCTCTCTCTCTCCCTCTCTCTCTCTCTCTCTCCCAAAAATAAACAAACTTAAAAAAAAAGCAAGATGATATGCAAAGCACATGGGTTTTGGAGTCACAAAAGTCAAATTGCAAATCTTGTGTGCAATTTTCTAGCTCTGTATCCTTAGGCAATTATTTATCCTCATCTAAGCTTCCTTGTTAACACATGTTAATAAGAACACCCAGGGGGGCCTGGGTGGCTCAGTCAGTTGAGAGTCTGACTCTTGATTCTGGCTCAGATCATGATCTCATGGTCTGTGGGATCGAGCCCCATGTCAGGCAGAGCTTGCCCTCCCCCCACCCCACACTCTCTCTCAGAATAAATAAATACACTTGAAAAAAAGAAAAAAAAAAGAACGCCTATTGTGCTGAGTTATTATGAATTAAATGAGATAAAATATACAAAATTATATGAAGTCCCATGTGCAACATATGTACTCAACAAATACCCTGTAATGATATGATTATTAATGCCTCTAAGGAAATGTTATCGCTACTGTGAAATTTGTACTGACTCCTCAAGAAGGAAAGATGTCATCTCTGCCTAATATTCTGGATCCCCACCTTAGTGGTCAGGAAAGCAGACATGGCAAGTTGCCAACTTAATCCACATTCTCTTCTGCCTCCTTACTTACAGAACTGTTGATAACCTTTTGGGCAACTATCTCCCCACCTTAAAAAACAAACAACAAACAACAACAAAAAAAACCTCGTGCTACATTTCACATCCTTTTTTTACAACAAAGGGTTGCATACAGCACAGTTCTGACCAATGAGACATATCAGAAAACTGCTAGGAGTTTCTATAATGTTTTTGCTCTCCTGGTACAGTACTACATTTTCCAGTCCCCTTCCCCAACTCTTCTTCAGGCAACACAGAAGTTGTAACTTATTGTCAAGGAAAGCCCAGGCCTGGGTGTCCTCCCCAATCCCACATTCATCTTTTATTTATTTTTTTTTTTTCACATTCATCTTTTAGAGGCCAAGTCAAATCCCTCCTTCAGATTTATTTGTGCATGAAAACTCTTTAAAAATTTTTTTTAATGTTTATTTACTTTTGAACGAGACAGAGACAGAGCATGAGCAGGGGAAGGGCAGAGAGAGGGAGACAGAATCCTGAAGCAGGCTCCAGGCTCTGAGCTGTCAGCACAGAGCTGGACGTGGGGCTCAAACTCGTGAACCACAAGATCATGGCCTGAGCCAAAGTCAGATGCCCAACCCACTGAGCCACTCAGGCACCCCTGTGCATGAAAACTCTTCATAAACCATGATTTGATTGAATTTTTTGTTACCTGCAGCTAAACACAACCCTAACCGTAGTAGGATTGACATAAAACGACGTTGTGATTTTCAGAGTTCTTGGGTAAGTGAGGAAAAAAGATTTGAAGCAAGTGCTGTGTTTATACAAGGAAAGCACCTGCATTCATACTGATTATACGTACTTCTTAAAGTATTAATGTTCACATAATTTTTATTAAGAACGAAACCTTCATCTTCCATGCCAAGAGGCCTCATTTAAAAATTTCCATCAATTTCTTACACTCGTGGGAGACTGGAATTCACTTTCTCATCCAAAGTCTTTTCACTATAGACAGTATCCATTTCCATGCGAATAACTAATAACTGCAGTTATATATTTTCTCACTCTTAGATTCCAAAGGCTATTTTGCTGTTGCTTTTAATTCCATGCTGTTCCAGTAACCTATTCCAAAGGCTTTCCCTGAAAGTTTTATCATAGGGAACCCCTTCATTTTGAAGATTGTATGTAGAAATTAAAGCCAAAAACATAAATTTGAGGGGCGCCTGGGTGGCTCGGTCGGTTAAGCGTCTGACTTCGGCTCAGGTCATGATCTCACAGTCCATGAGTTCGAGCCCCGCGTTGGGCTTTGCGCTGACAGCTCAGAGCCTGGAGCCTATTTCAGATTCTGTGTCTCCCTCTCTCTCTGCCCCTCCCCTGTTCATGCTCTCTGTCTCAAAAATAAATAAACGTTAAAAAAATTTTTTTTTAAATTCTAATTCTCTGTGGTATAAAGAGGGAAGGGCACTCTCCCAGTCCCTTTTCTTAGAGTACTTACTTTAGAAAACGTGTAATTATGAATCCTTTATCTGTCCCTTTGAGGTGTGTAAATCTTTTAAAAAGCTGACCAAGCCTCTTGCCAGTTTTACAACCCAGGGATGTTTCTCTCAAGCAGGTGGAAGCCAGCTTATTGAGATGTAATCGTGAGGAAGGATGGCACTCCTGCCTCCCAGTTACTGTGGGAGGAGATGAGCCCAAACTCCACAGACGCCTTGCTCTAAGTTGCAAACTCACCCTCTGTCCTAAAGATATGAGAAGTTTCTCTTTCAGATAAAGGCAATTAGCAAACACAGGTGGCTACCCCAATTCCCAGGTAAATTGAGGGCAAATTATGACAAAGGTCGCTGTCAAGTTCTCTTACCTGAGGACTAATTTCTGTTCATGTTGAGAAAACACTTGTAATGGGTTGTATCTGCCCAGCTGGCTATATAAAGGGGTAAATTTTTTTCCTGTGTTTTAAGTATTTTTTAATTTTTTTAATGTTTATTTATTTTTGAGACAGAGACCGAACATGAGCAGGGGAGGGGCAGAGAGAGGGAGAGAGCGAGAGGGAGACACAAAATTCAAAGCGGGCTCCATCCAGGCTCTGAGCTGTCAGCCCAGAGCCTGATGTGGGGATCAGGACCTGAGCAGAAGTCAGACACTTAACCCATTGAGCCACGGAGGCACCTCTTGTCTGTGTTTTGCAATCTCTTAACAAATTGCCTGTGGTGCACATTACATTCTGGCTTAATGATTCCTCAATAATAAAACTCTTTCTTTTCTCCCTTTGTGGAGAGGTGTTCTGGACTGGCAGGAGATTTTGTTTTCATTTCCCCAGAAGAGGGCCCAGTGTCTTTCCATAATCGTTGTTCTTAGACGTCTCTCTCCCTGAAAGGTGATGCGACACTGTGAAAAGAGCCATAGCCTCTCATGGCTCTGCCACTTAGTGGCTGGGTAACTCTGGGCATTTTATACTAGCTTTGTGAGCATCAATTTCCTCCTAAGTACCTTGGAAGTAAGTATGGTACTTACTTTACTGTGTCATCATGAGGATTAACCATGTTTTGTGAATTGCCTAGCAGAGTGGATTAAAAATGAAAAAACTTGAAAGTAGGCACCACAGCTTGGATCAGATACACTCGAAACTTCACTTGTGTCCCGGTATATGTTCTGACAGGGAATATGGAAAGGACTTTTCCTGCTTTCAAGGAACTCCCTCTCATGGTGACTGGAGGTCCATTCACCACTTCCCACAGCCATCGGGCTGCAAGACCTATGAGCTGAAGAATCCTCTGACCTACCACCTCCATTCAGATCAATCATTTCTAAGAGCACTTTGGACACACTCCATGCTCCAGGAGCTTCTGAAAACATACCGTCGATGTCAAAAGTCACACTCAGAGACCCTGGGTTGGGGGCCGCATTGCTGCACATAATATGGTGTCAGCCCTAGGTTAGTTCACAAGGGAACGCTCTAACCTGAGAAAAGTGTTATGATTCACTTTTAGGATTCATTGCTAAATGAAGAATGAAAATCTCTGAAACAGAGGGTTACGAATTTAGGTCAAGGTAGAGGAGGAGCAAGAGAATATGTGAGCCAGAGAATTGTTAATAATGTGCACAATCCTGCTTTCTCATCACCCATTTTCTTTGCTTTGCTTTGCTTTGCTTTGCTTTGCTTTCTATCTCCAAAAGCCAAAATAAAGTTGGAGATTAAAATAAAACAATTTGTGGGGTAGCTGGGTGGCTCAATCGGTTGGGTGTCCAACTTCGGCTCAGGTCATGATCTCATGGTTTGTGAGTTTGAGCCCCATGTTGTGCTCTGTGCTGACAGCTCAGAGCCTGGAGCCTGGAGCCTGCTTCAGATTCTGTGCCTTCCTCTCTCTCTGCCCCTCCCCCACTTATGCTCTCTCTCTCTCTCAAAAATAAATAAACATTAAAAAATTTTTAATTAAAAATAGAACAATTTGTTTCATATTTCTGTAACTTTAGAGTTTCAAGAATCCATATTTTTTAGTATCAGGGACCAATATGAGCTTTCACTTATTTGTCTAGAAATTGTTGTCCTTCTCTAAACCATGCTCTTACCTCCTATAAGATCAGAAACTCAAAGATAAGAAAAATAAGAGCAAAGAAAGAGGCGAAGAAAGAAGAGGGGAGTACATATGGGCAGAAGCAGGTGGAGAAAAAAAAGGGTAAAAGGAAATGGCAGAGGGTTGTTTGAACTGAAAATCATTACATGAGTTTCTCAACAGCAGCTTTGGGGCCACAATCTGGGGAGAGGGGCTTTCCTGTGCATCGTAGGTATTTAATAGCACGTTTGGCTTCTACTCAATAGATGCCAGTAGCAGCCCCTCCCTTCCCCAGTGTGACAATCAAAAATGTCTCCAGGCATTGCTAAATATCCCCTGGGGATCAAAAGTCCTGATTAAAAACTAATGATCTATATGTTAACTTGATAAAGTGGAAACTTTCAGAAGATAGATAGATAGATAGATAGAAAG